GTGGGTGGTTTGGAGGGTTTGGGGAGAAGAGCAACAAAGGCGCGGTGCCAGGCTGCCGGCATATAGAGTCTGCCAGCTTGGAATCTAGCATTAAAATCCCGATTCAGAATGGAGACTATGCTTTGATGGCAGCTGGACCATAGCACTGCCGGTGCCTGGTTGGGAGGCAGAGCCTTGCGCCTAGAGAGTGACCCTAGTGCTGATGAGATCTCATCCCGATCTATGCTCAAAGGCTGTTGTAGCTTGTATGTGCGAGTGGTGATGGTACTGGGTGTGCGGTATAGAGACTGAAAGTAGTTTGTAATTTCTTGTAGGGACTGTTCAGGAGTTAGGAGGCCGAGTTTGGGGTGCTTTAGGTGTATTGATCGTTTGGGAGTTTTCGGCTGAAGTTGATGCATGACCTTGTACACATGGGAAAGGCCTTTCGCATCCGCTGACAGAGCAGTGGCAATGAGCTCCTCGGCTTTAGCCTTTCGGTTCTGTCTAATTTGCTTGTTGAGACTCCGCTTGTATCTTTGATGCTTCGTCTCTGCTTGCCAGACACGGAGGAGCTCTGAAAGGTTCCTTCTGGCAGAGCGGAGTTGGAGTGCTGCCTGCAGTTGGCTGGTCCAGCTGACATTGTACATCCTGTCACACAGGCCTGAGAGACTAGCACGTAGTGCATGCTTACTGGCCCAGTAGTCTGCCAGGTTGGGGCGATCGGTGTGGATGGTGGCACCTTGCCTTTTGCGCTGGCAGGTCCTGTATGCTTCTACTAGTATGGCATCCACCTCTTCGGCCTGTGTGCCGGGCTGCTGAAGCTTGGACTCAGCCATAGCTTGAAAACGGCTCGCAAAGTCGGCATCTTGCAGGCTGCGACAGGCATCTTTGGCAGTGAGAGGCTGGGATTTGTGGGCTGTGTTGGGGATTCTAGGCATAGGTACTTGGAGGCTTATGGGGAAGTGCCGCATACCACTTTCTGCAACTACAGGTGCGGTAGGATCTACGTGGACCCGGAGGGATGCGATGTCGCATGGCTGGCGCATTAGCACATGGTCAATTTGGACCGGCTGGTCGCGATGATTGACATATGTGGCTGATGCACGTCCTCCTCTCTTCCATGTGTGTACAGCTATCAATCCCTGGCTCTGAACGTAGCCCTGAAAGACTCGTTGATCTTTGTGGGTTGAGCTACGGTGTGGGGATAGTCCTGGCCCTACATGAGGATGCATTTGGCTTAACTCAGAGTTGAAGTCTCCTAGCACGACAAGGCCGTTGCGTCTAGGAATGGAGGACGTCCAGCTGCGGAGGGCGGACCAAACACTTTCTCGGGCTCGCAGCAGCAGAATCTGTGGATCCTCTGACTGGTTTTGGTAAGCTTTCTTCTGCGGGGTCCAGGCATGTTGATAGACATTCATGATGTCTAGGGGCGGGTTGGTTCCTAGGCGTGTGTGCAGCATTCTGCCTGGGATGACTTCCTGATATTGCAAGGTAGGCTTGGGTAGGTTTGGAAACCGAATTAGGGTCATGACGCCGCTGGAGGTATCTCCTGCACTGCTGGAGACGCATTGCCATCCATGTCGAGTGAATTCATTGGACAGCGACCAGTGTGTCTCTTGCAAGCATACAACGCATGGCCTGTCATCTATGGCTTCTTGCCATTGCAGTAGCGATTCTAGCTTCAAGGCAGAGAGACCTCCACTGTTCCATGTGAGGACCCTAATGTCAGAAAATATACGGTCTTTCTGGACGACCGGTGAGGGCCTTTGGGGAGCGGTTTCCGGGGGCCGGGGCTGTGGTGGCTGTCTGGACACTAGAAGCTGTCCTCGGTACCAGGCTCTACCAAGTCTGCAAGCTCGGTTTAAAGCACGTCTGTATGAACGCTTAGCTATTCTGGACAGGTGCTCGGAGGTCACAGGGCCTACCGCCGTTGGACGAAGTCCTGTAGCCTGACCAGCCTGAACCTGCACTAGGAGGAGCAGTATGCTCAACAACAGTGTGGTAGGCTTTGGTAGGCGGGATTGCACAGGTGGATGCTGTTCTGGGGAGTAAGGGGATATAGCGGACTCAGTGTTTAAGTCCAGGCTGAGACTATCTAGGCTTGGGGCCATTCCTTGGGACATGGCAGTAGGGAAAATATGGTCGTCAAGGTTTGCTTCATGTCGGCAAATATCAGGGTTTTGGTCTGCTTCCGGGGGTCCGCGACCTGAGATACCCCCAACCCTCACGTCTACGAGTCTGTTGGCAAGCAATGTGTAAGCTTGACTCTCGTCTCCGGAATTGGGACCGGAGCGGCCCTCAAAAGCAATGCACGCTCGAAGTGTCTCCCTGGCACTACTGAAAAAGCCAAGTCCGGACGGGGAAGGCCTTGATGAAGGTCGACGAGGTCGATGTAGGCGGATGTAGCAGTGCAGCAGGCGCCTAAGCGTTGCTGGAAGGCCCCGCGGAGCCGTCCTCTTGCTTCTCCGCAATGCGCTTCTTCTTCGTCGGGGTCGAGGTGGCCTCCTGAACCTCCAATGCCGTAGGTGGCGTCTGCGGAGGTGCTGAAGAGCTCGGGGCCTCGATTGCCATTGTCTCGTCAGCTGATGGTATCGGTGGCTGTGCTGGTCCATCTGTAGACGAGCTAGCTCTCTCCCCTTGGCGTTCTTCGTCGGCAGCTTGTCCTGCGCTAAGCAGTCGTTGCTGTAGCTCATACTGAGCATACCATCGTTGGAACTTGCCGCGCTTGCGTAGGGGCAGCAGGGGCCAGAAAACCTGTAGTATCGCGTGGTACGGAAGGTAGACGGCCATATCCACTGCAATGCGGGCCATGGTTCTGGCCAGGTCTTCGGTTTCCATGTATCTCCTGAATCCCTGAAAGGCCAGCATCCCAAGGGTTTGGAGAAGTTGGCGCTGCCGCGGAGCAAAGGTTGTTCCTGTACTGAGTATCCAGCGAACATCATTGCGCTGGATGTCTCTTTCCAGGGCCGCTCGTAGGCCTCTGAAGGCATTCCGCAGGTGTGGCGCACGATGGTCCGGTAGCTGCTGAAGCGTTGCTTCAAGAACTTCTGGAGCTGGCTGGTTGTATTGAGACCTTCTGGCTGCAGCCATGCGTCCTGAGGTTCTTCTCCTATCGGAGCATTCCTCCACAAGCGTTTGCGCGTAGAAAAACCAACAAAGTTCCAAAAGGAGTCTGTTGCGAAATTCAGCCTGCGCGGGCGTGTTCCTCGGCAGGTCGTCCGGGGTATTGGCTGAATAGCCAAAGTCACTATCCTCTGTTGAAGTTGAGGATCCTTCAGCTGAGCCAAATAAAGAGCACTCAGAAGAAGGAGAGTGGTGCGCAGGAGAGCGAGGCATGGCATTCGTAGTTTGGCGGGAGATCACTTCCTTCCTTCTTGGGCCGAGACGCTTGCCTCTTCTGATGATGATGATGATGATGATGGTGACCACGATGGTGCGATTGCGATGCCCCTGCTGCTGCTGCTGCTGCTGCTGCTGCTGCTGCTGCTGCTGCTGCTGCTGCTGCTGCTGCTGCTGCTGCTGCGGCTGCTGCTGTTGCCTCTGCTGTTGCTTTGCTAGGTTTTGCGGCCTCATCAACATCGTGACCACTAACAAACTCAAAACATCCATGTGGAAGTCTAAACTGCTGTCCTCATCTGCCTGATAAGACGATGCAAAGGGTACTTGAGGCTTTCTCGCCAGGTCTGCGGCAAAACCTTGAGCTCTACCTGCAGTACCTTACGCATGCTCGTCGTCCTTCAAGCAAAGATTCGCCGACCGGCTTCACGGGCATCCGAACCTATGCACAGAGCCTACACACTTCCCTGCGGCACCTGAATAGTACTCAGCTGGTCTCGCTTCATCTTCAACCTTCCGAGAGTCAAGGTGTTCATGCGCGGCACGCATCAGCATTTCAACTCCCGGCATGGAAAACCGGGGGAGAGCGTGAGGACCTGGCTTTCCCAACTAGCAACAGAACAGATCGAGACCGATGACTCGTGACCGGAGACATGGCAAATGAACCCGGCCTGGCCAAAGTCTCCTTCTGCCGGGAGTCGAGGTCGTACCACTTGTCCACCACGAAGGGCACGTGCACACGGAAAACTTCAGGGTAGGGAAGTCAATGGAGGACAGGTCCGGACTGATCAAAAACGAACCCTAAATCCCGGCCTGCTGTCTTCGCTTTCTCTTCACTGATTTGGAGCTTCTCACGGATATGCTCCTGATCGCACGCATGCTCGAACAGCCGCCCTACATACATAGGTTCATCCATCCAGCCATGCATGCGAGCATTTTTGCATATACACGAACTAAACCTTGAGAAACCAACACAAGACACATACACTTCTTGTACATGCAAACCATACGAACAAATCTACATACATGCAGGGCACACTAACGATGCGATGCTACACTATAGCTTGGATGCTGGACTGTTGTGGTTCGAGGTAAAGCTTGTTGAGCATAACTCAATGTACGAGGATATCTGCATAAAATGTGCGCATATGGAAGCGGTCAGATTCGAGGGCTTCACTGTTTGGGTAATACCAAACTCAGATCATTGGTGAATTGTGAACTGATGGTCAGCCAATCGGCCCGGCTGCAGCAACTGTGCAGACCAACTACAGTAAAAGAAATGACAAGTACACAGCGAGGATATCATGATGATGAACCAATGGCACAGCTGGTACCGGTCAAACGGTCAGAGGCAAGCCGTGTGTCAAACCTTGTCGCTGATCGCTTCCCACCTTTGGTAATAGTTTCGTTGCGTGCAGCAGGCCAAAGGTGCTGCACGCCCCTGCACTCAATGTTACGAAGAACCAGAGGTCCTGGTCCTGATGGTTGGTCACACACACACACATATACATGTGTACATTTATGTATAGAAAGAGACAGATGAGCCTATGTGTAAAGAGCGAGATTCGCACATACCCATGTTTGTTCACACATGCACATGAATGCACACACACACACACACGCACACACATGAAGCGGAATACCCTGCTCACTTGATTCGCCTCCAACCTGTTGACACCTAGCCTTTTCTTTGCGTGTATTGTCGGAAGGAAACATCCAACAACCCGCCGTTCCCAACCCAGCTGCACCTCAATCGCACGAGTGAGGGACTGCTCGACCATGTGAAACTCCTGTGCCGCAGAGACTGCATCAACTTGAGCCTGGCCCAGGTTGGGACCTTGCGGCGCCTGATCGGTGAGCGAGAAGGGCCTTCCGGTCATATTGTCGCCCACCGGAAGATGAGTCAACCAAACCGTACGGTCGAGAAGAGGCATCGTCCTTAGCGGCCCCCCTTCCGCATCAGAGCTGTTCCAGACACGATTCCGATTCCGGGGTCCTGGCCGAGGATGCATAGCCGACCGTACACGCATGTGCACCTCAGTATATTTTTGCTTTTGTACCTCTGCCTGATCACCGGAATTCTAAAAAAAACAACGGGCGAGCCATCGCCTGCACGTAGGAAGGTCGCAGGTCCCCCCTTGTGAGTCTGCTGGTCACGAAGCAGACCATAACTTCTGGTTTATGACATCAAAGACACTCAGATGTTCCGCACAAGCAGGAGTTCGTGGCGGCACTGCACCATGCATTTGCAGTCACTGCAAACTCCAACAGATATCACTTATGGGAGGAGGCCCCACGACAAACACACTAACACTCTAACAAGAGAACATTCTGACACGGCCGACCCTTGCAGCGACAAACATGACCGAAGACACGTGCTGCCCTGGCCACATGCCCTTGGAGCAGCTGTAAGCCAGCATTGCACTGTGAGCAGACAAAACTGTCAACATATGTTATATCCACTTCGGCAGGGCCCAAAGTTAGCACGAGGCATCGTCGCTATCAGCGCTCGCTTTTTTGGAACGGACGCCCTGCTGCTGTTAAGGGTACCCGTTGGGATTCGCAGGGCTTCTGGAGTAGCATAGGCATCGCGGAGAAGAGTAGAGAGCCACCGCTCAAGGCAACTGCACACTGTACATGGGCAATAAGCACCATAGACCCTCTCTTAATAAACGCGTGAAACTGGGAAGCTTAACCTGCCGGGCCGCTATGCTCTGACGGTGACCTGGCGCCCATCCAGCTTGAAGTGAAAGTTGGGAAAGCCAACCAGAGCAGAGCCAATGAACCAAGGGCCTCTGGCTTCCTGGGGCACCTTTGGTGCTGTCAGGGAGTGGAAGCTGGCCCACTTGCTGCGGTGATGATGGGCCTCTGGCTTCAGGTTCGTCGGATACATGCCCCCAGCCAAAGGCCAGTCACTGCTCTTGGGGGAAAGCCGAGCACCCTTGAGGATCATGAACCAGATCTTGTTCACCTGCACAAAGCCGTGCACGGCTGCAGTGGCCGGCAGACCCCAGGATGTGTCGAATCTGGCCGTCGATTGCTCATCCGTGCGCGGTTGCTGCGGCAGCTCGTACTTTCGATGGAAGACATTGACAGCAAACTTGCTGTGAAGAAGGTCTGTCTCCGTCTCCAGGCGAGTGATGTATCCAGGCACGAAGTTCCGAATGTCTACCTCCACCGTGGACTCGTGCTCTGTCACATGCTGGATGAAGCCATCTAAAGTCTCGAGCCGACACCGTTCGGCCAATGAGGATCCTTTCTTCTTCGCTTCCTTTGGAGCTGCGGTAAGGATCTTGGTGAACAGCTGCTGTGCACTGGGGTACCCTGCAGCTTCACCCGAATGCCGGAGAGGTAGGTTCACCGTCTTCACGTTGAGGTCGTGCTCGCAGGCCAGCGTGGAGACAGGCTCTCCAAAAAGCTGCATCCACTCGGCTTCCTTTGCTGCAAGCTTGCGCTGCTCGGCCTCAGACAACTCCACGGGCTTTTCGACCAGGTCCTCTGGCGTAACCCTGACCTGGCAAACTTCCATCAAGGTTCCCTTTGCCCTATTCCGCGGCCAAACAGCCTCGTGGACCTCGCTCTCCTGGCCACTCCGTCGGACAATGAGCTTGAATGGAACATCCGTGCCATCGCGGTTGTTGAAGTTGTTGACCTTCATCACGAAGGTTCCAACTTGGTTCAGTGAGATATTCTCGGCCGGGTTCTTCTCAACCTGTGAAGCGTTTGCATCAAAGTCAAGGCAGCAGCTCTCTACGTTCTTCTTTCCGTAGTAGAGCTCTGTCCCTTTGACCCAGGTGTGCAAGTCCAGGTCTGACTTATGAGGGTTTCCATCCAGGCCCCAGACCAAAGTTACGGTGCAGAGTGACTTCACTTGCTTCTCCCGCAACAACTCCGCCACACGTGAGACCATGTAGGTTTCTGGATTGCTTCGGTCGTCCATCATAGCCACAAGGCCCTCCAGGTTGGCAGCTGTGTCCATAAAATCCACTAGATTGCTAGCCTGCTGCATGTCCAAGTGCACATTTCCATGGGACCGTCCTGTTAGCATCGCATAGATCATCACATGGAACTTTTCATGGAAAGCAAGCTTGTCCCAGCTTTTGCCATGAGCTTCAGCAACAAAGTTCACCGCCCATTGGACAACAGCCCTCCAGTGGTCCGGGCGCACCAACCGGGGAAGAGCATCCTGCATGATTTTCAACGAAGCTGGGTCATCCACCAAGCGCTGGAATCGGTTATCGAAGGAGCCGTTCAGGTATAGCTTGAGATCCTTTAGCCTCTGAGACAATCCAGTATCCGAGAGCTGGTCGCAAGTGAAGTGCATGTGGCTGAAGGGTCCAACTTCGATGGGATACTCCTTGACAAAGTCCTCGTCAATCACAACTGCGGTAAGCTCAGACACGTTCTGGATCGTCTTCCACTGCTTCTGGCGCAGCTTTCGGAGTGTCTGCACATTTGGTTCCTTCACATCGCTGAATGCGAGGAATGATCCGCCGTCGCCCATCAACTGCACGAACTTCGGCATGCGGTGGATGCAGGTGTTGCACCGTCCAGACAGGTTGGATGCACAGAGTTTGCTCTCTGCTTTTGGTAGGGCTTCCCGAGGCTGAAGGCAGAAGAACAACTTCTTGTTCTGCACCTCCACTGCGCAAGCCTTCATCGCAGTGCTCTTGATCTTTTCGTAAGCTTCGTTGCACGCGTCGTCGAGTTTGGGGACCTCCACGACCTCCCAACCCTCATCGCCAGAGCCAGCCATCCCTGAACGCGTCCGACGCTGATGATGAGCACACGTGAAAGCAGAACACTCGAGCCGCACGATTTAGCAACGACAGTTTCGGTTGCACGATTTACCAGCCGCACAGAAGTCTCAGCTGCGGACCTTCATCCGTTGTGTAAAGATGAGGACCACCACACCGAACACCGTGGCGAGAAGGCCTCGGAATTTGCGAACAGTGCTGTCCGCTTGCCGCATGCATTCATGCAAAGATGTTACATGGATGAACTCCGTGTCTATCTATGAATGTATGCAGCGATGCTTCTCTCCAGATGCTTGTGGATGTGAGTAACCGGATGTACACACATGTTACATGCATGCATCGATATCCAAGCATGTATGCTGCGTCCTTTTCCCATACGCACGCTGCGATTCCTGCAGACATGACGTGAATCACGACTGCACCTATATAAGATATAAGACATATTAAGCAGTGCATATTCTATATTAGGTTGCTATATACTATATACGAACCGAAGGCTCAAGTGGTGCCATGGCCAGGCCGCCGACAGAGCAAGCAGATACCATCAGCACTAATGTCCTGCAACGCTGCAAAACACACTACGGGTTTTTTTTTTAGGGCACCAATGACAACAAGGACACTAACCATCACCATAACGATAAGACTACCACTTACACCATCAACGACAATAACAATAACAGTAAAACCGTCGAATAATCAAGTTCCTAATAATAACAATAATGAAAATAAAACGAATGTCAATAATAATAGTAATACCACTACTAGTAATACTAATAGCAATACTAATCATAACAATACTAACAATGGTATTAATAACAACACCATAATAACAGTAGAAACAATAACAACAGTGATAATTGTGTGCATTACTAAAACAGTCATAAAAGCTAATGATGATAGAAATAATAGTATTAATACTAGTAGTAATAGTAATAAGATTGTGAATAGTAAAAATTAGCAATGAATAATTAATAACTTATTATGAGTCATTAATAATTAATAACTAATAACTAGTAACTAATAAATAGTAACTAAAAATTAATCATTAGTAACCATTAGTTAATAACTAATAATTAATAACTATTCATTAAGAATTAATAAATAATCCTTTTTTACTTAGTAATTAATAGTTAATAATTAATAAATACTAATCAATAACTACTAATTTCTGACAAATAAGAGTAATTAATGGTTAATAAGTTAAAAATAACTAAAAGTTCGTGATAAATATTTAATATTTTATAGTTAACAATTAATAATTAGTAATGAATAAATATTGATTTAAGATTAAAAATAAGAATAGTCATATAGAATAGGAAGCCGTACATTCTTTTATGTTTCTGATTGGTTGATTTTGGAGCCCTGTCTTTCAGATCAATACATGTGGGTTTAGAAATCCAGGGTACCCTCAAGTCCGGAAACTCGCTGTTTGACTGCAACACTAAGATCCGAATGTGTGTCTGAAGCGGCGCTGTCGCTGAAGTAATATTAGAAAGTATACTAACAACGACAGTGACAAGAAAAGCAACGATAGCGAGAATGGTAACAAAATTATGAACAGTCATGTTGCTCCTTTGCCAGTGAGATCCGGCCCCGAGGACCGCCGAGCAGAAGGGGCTGCACCTTGCGACCAGCACTTACGGTTTATGGTTTAGGGTTTCGGGCTTACGAGGATGTGCAAAGTCAGCAGCTGCCATGCACGATGCCTACGGTTGTCAAAGCTTACAGGACTGGAACTGACAACAACATCGAGACAACCAGAGGCAGCATGTCCCGAAAGTGCTTCGAGTAGCGAGTGACAACAAACATGACTTCATCTGTCCATACATCCATCCATCGACGGTGCATCCACGCATCCATCCATCCATCCATCCATCCATCCATCCATCCACCCATCCACCAATCAACCCATCCACCCATCCACCCATCCACCCATCCATCCATCCATCCATCCGTCCAACGGTTCATCGATTCGCACTTGCATGTATTCATCCGTTCATCCATGCGCACATACATGTGCCTGTCCATCTATAAGATAGGAAGGCAGTGAACCCAAGAGTCTAAAGACCTTAACTCTAGAGCTGATTACCCGGCAGCGCCTCCTTGGCGACCCCTTGGCCCCAGAACAACTAACTTGTGATTTCAATGGTCCTTGCACGTAGCGCAACGGTCTAGTCAAGTCTACTCCATGCCTGGCTGCGCTACCAGATGCAAAGTTTTGATTTGAATGTGTGCGTGTGCATGTGTGTGTAAGTGTATGCGTATACATATATATATATATATATATATATATATACGTGCACATATCTGTATACGTTTAAAGTAGGATATAAGTGTTTCTGTTGCAGACCCCCAAGCCGGACAAGTGTTCAATCGGGATTTCCTGCAGACTGGTTTCTCTCCAAAGCTGTCCAAACAAATGAAGAGTAAGAGTCATTTCAGAGTAAAGCTGCCTCACGGGACTCGTTGTGCTTGCCAAAGCTGGCAAAGGCACTAAGATGACTCAAGTTTAGGGTTGAAGGGTGGCCTGAGGGATGCAATTAGCGACCGTTTAGACATCTTCTCTGCCGGCACCGGCTGGCATGGGTCAGCTTTAAGAAAGGCGAAACCGAGAGGGTTGGAAATTAGATTGGATCGCACTAATTGAACTGAAACAACGAGAGGGTTGTCGTTTCCAGGCCAGCATGCGGCCCATGTATTTACGACGTGCAGCAGCTCCCGCTTGCCCTGGCCCGTACGTTTGTGTCATCCCCACCGCCTCCACAAAAAACAAAACTGGAAAAGACCGTAGTCACACTTGCGGGAAAATCTGACAAATACAAGCTCTACGGTCAAAGAGGCACACCATCACCAACTGCAACAGCAAAGCCAAGGTTGCGTCAGACAAGAACGACGACCACGACGACGTGGACGACCACGACCAAGCCCTACGTCCTCCACCCCATGACGAGTCAGACAGCTCTAAACTAAACTCGCTGAGCGCGGGACGCCCCAGTGAGGAATCACAAAAAAAGCAGAGACAACGGTCAGCGTCGTACACATCCTTGGCCGGGCACACATGCGACAAGAGCAGCTTCCGCCTGCTTGGGCATACAAATCTTCTGAGATCTGCAGGGTGCAGAACTGGAACTTGCGAAACTTTCAGCTGCCCCACCTAAGCCCTCCTTCTGTCTTTCTTTGACCAGGCTCTCGCTCTCTTTCTCTCGCCCGCTGTGTCTGTCGGTCTGTCCGTTAGAGGCTGTCTAGGGGTAGTTGCCCTCGCTCCTCGAAGATGCAGAGTCCTACATGTGCCCTCACCGAGGTGCAGCAGAGAAACTCCGCCGAAATGCGAAGAAATATCAGATAGTTGAGAGCCTAGGCAGTCAGGAACAGTGTAGCCAACCTGTGTGTCAGCCCTCCCAAATGCGCCCTTCTTCTTTGTTGGTGTGCTGAGAGCCATGTACCACATGTACCGCAGAGGCCCTGACAGTGCCATGGAACCTCAGGTAGCAAGCCGTCCCTGACCCGATGAATATCTCAGCCCATGGGACTCACCGAGCGCAGCACGTAGGGCCGAGAAAGGCCGAGGAAAACTCAAAGGCGTTTCGACTGGTGTACTCGCCGCAGTCATCGTTGGCCAGCAGCCTCCACGGAAATCGAAGGGGCTCGATGCAGCCAATCCCAAGCAGCGATGTCTGTATTGCAGTATACACACACACATGCATGTATGTGTATGTGTATATATATATATATACACATACACATGTGTGTGTAAGATTAAGCATCTATGTATCTCCGCCCATATGTACATGTGCAGATGCACACATATCTGCAAGGACCGACATGACTGTGATGTACGTATGGGTATACGTATATATGTATATAGGTGTGTATGTGCATATGGACATGCTTATCGTGCATATATCTAAGTCTGTGCATACGTACACATGTATAGATATAAAAATACATGTATATATGCATGCAAATTGTGTATCGATGGCATCGGCCTCGAATTCTGGAACGTATCATGCTGTGCTGTCGATGCAGCTATGTAAGTATCTGCATGTATATATTCATGTATCTATGCACCTATGTATGTCTGTATCTATGCGTCAATGCATCTATGTACCGATGTATCTATGTATCTCTGTACCTATCTATCTATCTATCTATCTATCTACCTATCTCACTAACTATCTACCTATGTATCTATCTACCTATCTATCTATCTATCCATCTATCTATCTGTCTATCTATCTATCTGCCTATCTACTTGTTTATCCATCTATCTATCTATCTATCTATCTATCTATCTATCTATCTATCTATGCATCTGTGTACATAATAACATAGGTACGTAGGTAGGTACGTAGGGAGGTACGTAGGCGGCAGCCAGGCAGGCAGGGTAGGTGGGTAGGTAACTGGTAGGTAACTGGTAGGTATGTATGAATGTATCTATGATCTCTTATCATGTCCTGGTTGTGGCTCGAGGAAGATCCGCACTGATCTGTTTCGGAGCAATGATGCTAGTCTGCCGATAGATGCCGCGTTGTACCGGGGAGCGCGTATCCGGCTAGTCCGCAAATATCACCACCTCGGTGGCATACTTCATTGGGGTGGGGGGCTGCAGCCACAACTCCGTGCCAGGATGGGACAGGCTTGGCAGGCTTTCCGCAAGAATAGACGGCAGGTCTTTGGGTCACCAATTGTCACTTACGGAGAAAAGTCTCTGCTCTTTGGGTCATTAGTCGCATCCACCCTGTTCAGTTCTTTGGCGGATAAGGAAACTCTTGTGGTAAGTGCCTGGAGATAACACGTTTGCGAAGCACTGCTCAGGCCTGGAAATGCCTCCTTGAGGAGGCGTTATCACAGATTCCCATCCAATGGGTCGGCTGGCAACGATGTATCGCCGACTTTCTTGCAGGAGTCGACTTTGCCGAGTGGTTGGTCCCACAACCTGTCACCAGGGTCCAAGACCCCTGCACCTTCCGGGATGCTTCGACTCTCCTTTGGTTGAGTCTCGACTTATGCCTGTTCTCGCCGTACGACAAATTCCTTCCGGGGCGTCGTGTCTTAATTGCGCAGACCTCTTTCTTATGGGGTCGGTCGGTTATAGGCACTTCTGACTTTTTGTCACATGTTCGTTGCTTTGAGCAGCCCACGTTCCTGGACTTCCCATCTTGGATTTCCACCACTGGTTCGTCCGTTTTTGGGCTTTGCCTTCAGGGCCTTCCGACCTCTTTGGCAGGATCTTTGTAAGCCCCTTCGGTGTTTTAGCTGCAGCGGAGTTCGGTTCCTACCTGTTTGGCGGTGTTGCTGACAATGGTTCCGGAGATATCGCAAATAGTTCCTGAGAGTTTGAAAGTGGTTCCACAGCCCCTCATTGCACCCATAGGCAAACAGACCGCCAGTAGCTCCAAAGCATACCAGAGGTAGATCACTCCTCTCACAAGATCGGCCAAAAGCCTTAGCTTGGAAACCGGTTAATCTAAGGTATACGGGGTTCCAGCTGTCCTTGCTGTACCTGAGTCTTGTTGCCCGACGTTTTGCTCCAAGAGCGAGGTACAGCGGCTTTCTTTGCTTGCAAGCTTCCCATCTCCGGAAACCGCTTTGAACTGTTTCACCGCTTTAACAAGTGCCAACAGGCTGCATCCGACATGGATCCTGCGCCTTGAAAGTGAAAGTGTAAGTGATGTATGATCTGTGGAGCAGGACACATAGCACCGTCGTGCCTCCGGGAAGCCTCTTGCAGTCCTCCCGACTCGTTGCTGGGCTTCCTTGGGAGGAGTCTTGGGACGATGCAGGGGATTCAAAACTTCTACACGTGAGTCTGCCATGGTGGTGACTTTGCGCCTCCGTACGTGTCGGCACCATCTCTTCAGGTGCCAAACGGCCACGCCTGCAGCTTGGCTCGCGAGCAGCATTTGGCCTGTATCCCTGTAGTCCTGAAAACGCTCAGTATATTCATGACAACTTGTCCTAAAACTGCATCATGCTGAACTCCTGAGCAACCGGCCAGTTGCAAGCGTAATCACGTTGAGGGCAATGCTTTGGCCCATACCAACCTCAGAGATCGGGCTGCTGGCTTCCAAGACTGGAATATCAACATCATACAACAAGCTTTCCCACGATCTCGCTCTTTGCAACAGGGCGGCTGTGACTGGCGGCTGTGCATGATCCTCCAGCCACTGCTTGATGTTTGTCCGTGTCGTGCTCGCCTGCAGAGGATGTCATCGGGATTTTGCGCAGGAGCTTCGGGAAAGCCTGAAATCTGCGAAGGAGAGATGAGCTTCGAGAGCTTCGTTTCAACATCTGGAAAGGAAGGCCCTCGGCCTCCATGTCGCCCGCCATGATTTGGTATCATCCCGAAGCGGCGAGAGAGGACTGCGAGTAACCGGTGGAGCCTGCTAGAGCACGAGCTCCGGTTGGCATGTCGCCGGTATGCTAAACAAGACAACTTGCGAAATCCTGCAGGCCTATGAGGACCTGAGCATGTCCAAGTTCAGTCTTCAAGCTCACTGAGACAAGTCATCGAGATTAGCAGTGGCACGGAAGTCGAGCTTCGTGTACAAGCATGCTAGGCTGCTGCGCAACTGAAACGGCTGTCGTCCGGAGTCGTGGTGTCATGGGAGGAGAAGCAGAGCCATTCCCAAACCTGCAGACCTATCAAAACTTACATTGTCTGTCTGACGATCAACTCTCTGCATCTATCTGACGGTTTGCTCATCCGCGCAGGTATCTAGACTTGGTATCATGTACCTACCTATTCACCTGTCTGTTTAAATTCTCTGCCTTGTCCTGTGTAACCACGTTCTCCATACTATCGCTGTCCTGTCTTATCTGTCCCGCATGTTCGGCCTTGGCGCATTTGTTTTTCTAGCTGTTTTGCTTCTCGCTGACGCCTTCCTTTCGTATGTTGATAAGGCTTCTAATGTCTTCTGGCGTCTCGTCCAGCACCGTTCTGCCTTTCAGTTCATTAATTACTTCATAGGATCATTCATGCATGTATCCATCCATCCACCCACCCAGCCAGGCAGCCATCCATCCATGAATTCAATCGATAATTCAGCCAATTTATTCAATCATTCAGCCAGCCAGCCAGCCAGCCAGGCAGTCAGTCAGTCAGTCGTTCATTCCTTCATGCCTTCACTGTTCCCTCACGAACTGGTTCATGAGTTCATGGATTCCTCTGCTCACTCGCTCATGTTGTGTTTCATTCATCAGCCTAGCCCCTCCATCTCGTTGAGACATTTGGTGGTTCATTTGTTGATAGGAAAGTTTGTTGCCAATGTCCTCGTCCACATCCTGAATGTGGTTGCCGACGCCAGCCCATGCAGACGACATAATGCATAAATCCACTGTCACTTCAATGCAGGGGGCTGGATGAGGAAAGTAGTTCAGTTCATCTCTCTGCACACGCAGCTAGTTCCAACTTTGCTTTAAGCTATGTGCACTTCCATGTGTGGCTGAGCTAGATGGCTCTGTTCTTCGGGTTTGCGTGCCGTGGCTCTCCACACATGCAAGCCGTCTAGAAGACGCATGTACACATGCATGATATTTGCATGCCTGTGCTTGCGCATGAGCACATGCATGAACTTGGCATGCGTACCCCATGCATGAACGAAACCAGACAAGTGATCGTATACAGTGTTTCCAGCCGGCAGACAATGGGTCCTCGAGGCTTTGCTCACTCTATCACCTGACTCTCCGAAGGCATACAGGCTGAGTAAAGCTTAGATAACAATGCACTCTGCCAGGAGAAGTCTCCACAAAGCCCTGGAGCCCCTTGTCGGCCATCCTTCCTTTCCTCTTTTGAGCGGATGGATGGCCGCACCGTGCTGTCCAAATGGCAAAGTGTGGGCCCGAGCACATACAGTCTGCCATTGATGCGCTGCTTAATACAACACGAAGATACAGTGCGAAAACCATGAGGGAAGAAAAACGCTTTCAACTACGACAATAGGAGATCTTACCGAGATGTCTAGAAGCATACATGCCTCTGCCTACCGAGCTGTGCACGGCCAGCATGGGAAAACCACATACATAAAGCCTGAGCCTCCTTAGCTGTCATACCTCCACTTTGTCCATCTGGGCAGTTGAGCAAGTTCGGAGTCCCCGGCATTGATAACTCATGAGGCTTACGATACAGCTATCACTAGACCAGGAGCCAGCAAGAGCTACTCGACTGAAAGCAGATGCGTTTCTACCATAGACACGGCTTCAGCCGACATCGTCGGGGATTCCAGGTTCTAGGTAAATGCAAACAAAGTCTTTCCGCTTCTCCTTCAGAATGTCAGCCAGCGCAACCTCGAAGGTTAGTTAAACTCCTGCCCATAGATGAAAACGAATACTTCTTCTTGTAGAATTGACATCCTTTGAACAAAAGAAAACAGAACCGTCTCTACGAAGAGCAATTGTTGGGTGTGAGAAGTCATTGAGAAGCGCTGTCGCCTAGACGCATCACCGGTTGGCATCGATCTTGTTCCAGACCTGGGCCAGACATGACTACTTTGAAAGACAAGCACTCTTGTCAGCCCCGCTTGCACAATGCGTGACTTTCAAAAAATGTCATGCACATGAACAGATCAGACAACGGACTGCAGCAACGGCACGCTCTCTACACCGAACGGTTTACTTCACACTACACCTATGCTGTAGCCGAAAATCTAAGGAACTCTGAGCTTGGTATGCTTGCAGCCAAGGCTACACCG